TCACATACACACGCAAACATACAACACATATATAGTACATAAAGTTATACATATATTATACATTTATATGCATATTTACTATAATTCGTAAGACTTTTTAAAATGGCATCGTTGCATACCAACCAGCAGCAGCAGCAGACATGCATCTACATGAACTCTACTCTAAATGTATGTCTTTAAGCGTATTCAGCCACAATTGAGAAAACCAACAGCAAACAAACAAAAACAAAAACCACAAAAAAAAAACACAAGATTTTATATTTTACACGCAAAACTATTTTATAATTTATATACCTAATTGTATGTACTATGGAAATAGCAAGTATTTAACTAGTTTTGTAAGCTTAACAAGAAGTGAAAGTGGAAGCAGAAGAAGAATAGGGCCGAAAAAAATTGAATTTCTGATCGAATACAGCCTCTAACGATTTAACGCTAATGCTACTTTAAACGGTCCTTAGGTGCATTTTATGTATAAAAAAAAACAAACCAATCTACAACTCAAAAGTCTTTGGAACTCGTTCTACTCCGCCCTCTGCTGAATAGTTTTTCCCCTCTACTTTTCATGTGTACACGCGACTTTATATCGACTAAGCCAAGTATTATTTAACTCAATCAATCACGACACTTGTGTATTTTCAAATTGTTGCTAAATGATGAAACTCCAATGATGGCATTTACTTACTACTTCCATGTCAACCAGATCTATCTATCAAATCAGACAACAAATATGAATACTATTTTGCTGCTTCCTCCGAGTAGTTGAGAGGCTAAGAAAAATTGCATTTTGTACAAATCATTAAAAAGGAAAAACGAAAACGCATTTCAGATTCGTTGCTAGCGATTAAACCAATGAATGTTTATAGTACATTTAAGTTTATGCCAAAATAATTGATTACTTTTCGTTTTTGTATACTTAAGCACAAGGCACACAAACACACACACACGCAATAATTGGGCACTGTCCATGTAGCATAGATCCTGCATATCCTGCAGCGTTTGCCCGCATTTAGTTCCTCTCTCTCTCTCCAGAACACGCTGCTCCTTGCGTGTGCAGCAAAACCGATCGATCAATAGCCCATATGGATAAACTGCTATCTCAAGGGTTTCAACAAAAATGCTAAAGTTTTGATGATAGCATTACGATATCGGTATCTATCATTGAATCAATCACTTAGCTACACAAAAAAAAACACACACACAGAGATGGATGCACTTGAATTGAGGATGCACTTGATCTAATTTATTTGACTTTTTGTTATAGTTTTTTTAGTTTACCGACTACCGTCTATGGATATAGTATCTAGCATATATATATATATATATATATATATATATATATTGTGTTGGCCATTGTGTGCACATTCTGTAGCATAAAACCAAAGTTTAGCATTTCGTATTGAAAGTATACATATATGTATTTGTAAAGAACTCGAGGCATTTCACACACGACAACAAAATCAAGGACTGGGAAAAGAATAAGGACAACCAATCATTGTATGAAATGGCATTCAACGCAAATACCACAACCACAACGGAATCATTGCAGATAATTTACGAGTAATTAATATATTGTTATAATTCAAAGGCAAAACTGAAATTGTTTAGCGTAGTTGATGAATTTTTGTATATAAACTTGACATAAACTGTAGCGATAAAGGCAAATTCAATTTTATAATAATACAATCTGGCAACTGTAACTGCAGGTGGCAGGCGATGGTACAGGTGGCACGCAAGGCATCAACAAGAACTAAAATTTCACAACATTTTTTATATACAAAATACAGCGGCAATCAAATTGAAAGATTTTCAAAATCGTTCAGCCTCTGCCTGGAAAGGCGTGCCGCCTGCAACCCCAACCGCCCCTCAGAAATTGCATTATAATATTATAAACAACATATTAAAAATGAAGGATGAATAATTATAGAACTAACAAATCGAAATTATCCTTTAATTTGTATATTGGATAAAAGAGAAGAGTTCCCGGTGCGAATATGCGAGTTTAATATAAAAGCTGAAGAATTTAGTTGATGTAAAATGATGATAGAAATGTGTCCGTTAAGTCGGTTTGGTGTGTAATGCATAATAATAATACAATTAACAATGATAATAAATAATAAAATGGAAAAATATGTAATAACTAAAAGAGTTTGAAAGTTTTATTCAGGAAAGGGTTAAAAATGTAAAATCTTTTTTGTCCTTGATGCCACCAAGCAATCGGGGATATTGTTCCAACTATGAGGAGGCGGCCAAGCCCAAATCGGACTAAAAATAGCGGAGATATAGCCTTATAAAGGACCAAGGATCAAGGATATGAATGAAAAATGACAGAGAAAGGTAAGACTGGGGAAAATATCCTTGATCCTTGGTCCTTTATAAGGACTCCCAAAATCGAGGATTTTCTTCCGATCACGAGGACACGTACGCGTAGGACACGAATGAAAAATGACAGAGAAAAGTAAGTATTTCAGACTGGGGAAAATATCCTTGATCTTTGGTCCTTTATAAGGACTCCACAAAATCGAGGATTTTCTTCCGATCACAAGGACACGTACGCGTAGGACACGAATGAAAAATGACAGAGAAAAGTAAGTATTTAAGACTGGGGAAAATATCCTTGATCCTTGGTCCTTTATAAGGACTCCACAAAATCGAGGATTTTCTTACGATCACGAGGACACGTACCACGTCCTGATTGGTCGATAAATAACGGAGTTATGCTTTCGGCCATTTGAGCCTAACAAATTTTATTTGCACCGTGGCGCCCCCATGATCACCTACTGCCATGACAGGAGTGCTAAAACGAGCGATGCAAGGGGGTGTGGCGTGTGGAGCCCTGCTCCGAGGTGAGTCCCTGACTCCCGGCTGGCTTATTAAAGGTATCCATTATTAATCCTCTACATCCTCTTAGTGCAATGCGCCGTGCGGTCGTCAGGGCATCAAATATCGTATACTGCATTGAGACTGGTCCGGAAGTCGAAGGCCGGCCGGTAACGTGTGCAAACACCAGCCTCGTCCGGATGTCATGAAGGTCTGAAGAGTCCTGCCTGCCAGGTGAAGTGTAAGTGTTGATCGTGGACAAACAATACACCATGAAAAAGCCTTTAACCGTCTTGATTTTCTTTTGTAGTTTCCCCTTCGGCGGCCCAGTATAATTAATTGAAATTCCGATGGCAGCAGCTTTGCTTTAAGCAATTAAAACCATTATAAATAATATACTATTATATAATATACACTATGCTACAAAATACATTGGAGCAAAATTTTTGCTGTTGTTGAGACGCCTCTATTGATGAACGGCGATTTCTGGAAATACCATACTTATACAGTTGAATATAACAATCCAACTGGTTTTACACATAATTTAAAGACTTCCTCATCGGTTCCGGATGGCAGGACTATAAATGTCAATACATTTCTCGTACGATCAGGACGTGCCACACCAACTCGTGATTGCGGACAAAGTTTACCAAATCCTTTGCCGTTATGGTCCTGTGAGTTTGAGAGAATCATAATAAGAAAAAATCATACAGGATGTTGGGGTTTTTTGCTTTTTTGGATACCAAAAAAGTTGAAATTTTTTTATTGTACGGTTTCTTTGTTTATTATTATATGTATAGTTGTATATATTATCATGAAATCGTTCCGTTTAAAAATTGTTCAAAGGCAAAATTGTACATAATATGTACGTAAGACATGTGCCATATATGTATGAATTTATTGTTATATTAGGTGTTCGTTTTGTTTCATTAGTAAGTAATAGTAATGAATCAATAATAATGCAAATATAATATGCACCACTTGTTTATACTCTCCTAATTGTGTGTACCTCTACCACTTCGTTTGGGATCATTTTTGAGGATGTTTTTCAGAATAAAATGTCTATTTTTGTGCGATACGATATAGTATTTCAATATTCTACTACTAATATATATTTAGTACTCGTATGTATTTATGGAATATGAATTAGCTATTTAGCAACGATATTTGACTGTCCAATATATGTATAGAACAGTTTGGGTGTATTGTTTATTGTATGTACAATAAATTCGTATTACTTTTATTTATTGTTTGGTCGATCGTCTCTCCATAATGGATATCACATCTGACCTATGCTCGAATTAAGCTGGATCAGATCTGGCATCCGAAATGGACATCAAATCGTATACCTTTCGGTTGGGATAATCCCAAATGCATATAGGATTATCTCAAGCCGCCATTCGTTTCGTGCACAAGAGAATTATCACGTTGTGAACTTTCTAAATACAAGTATTCAAGTATTATGATTGGTTATTGGAATAATTTTAAATATTAATAGATACCAGCCAGCGGTCACTTAAAGCCAGCATCCACTCGTATTGAAGGAAAATGAACTAAGTGCCTGTGGAGACTGGGGCCAGAGCCACACACTCTTTGCTGTGAAAATACAAAACCAAACCAACCATTTCTAACTATCCGGAAATTTGTTGCAGCAAACTATGCCGTATTCTCAGAACTGGTTGGTTTTAGAATTTTCACGAGTGACGGCGACAGACCCATTACATCCTTGCTGTTCGTAAAGGCTAAGACCCGAAGTTACGATACTACCATTCATCTAATCTAATTAAATATCCAGTTCAGAGGATAACTCTATGCCCATTCAGAGGATAACCTTAAACAATTCAAATATATAAATAATCTTCTTCAAAAACATTTAAAACTAGTGTCTGACGCCCCCCAGAACCCACCGAATGTACATATATTCACTGTCCAGCCACAGATCGATGCGTGTCCTTCCCTGGTGCTACATGTTCGGGGGGAGATCTGGGTATTCATGCTGCTAGCACAGCTGGGGGCGGTATTTGTTGCGGCATTTGCTGCTGCTTGATGTTGCAACTACATCTGCTGTTCGTGGGGACTGCTGCTGCTGTTGGTACAGCCCCTAAACGCACTTATGGGTCTTACAAACTAGATTTTGATTCCCTGGGAATCCATGTGTATCCACTGTACAGTGAACAGTGATCTTACATGGCCGAGGATATCTGCTGCTGCTCCTGCTGCTGTTGATACGGCTGGGCCTGAATTTGCTGCTGCTGCTGCGGAGTTTGTTGCAGCGGCGGAGTGTGTGTCTGCTGCTGCTGCTGCTGCGGTTGTTGCATCTGTTGTTGCTGCTGCTCCGGCGGCTGCTGTTGCATCTGTTGTTGCTGCGGCTGTTGCTGCTGCATCTGCATCTGCTGGTCTTGAGGCTGCTGTTGGTACTGCTGCTGCTGCGGCTGCTGGGAGTACATAGGCTGCTGCTGGTACTGCTGCTGCTGAGGCGGTAGTTGCAGTGGAGGCGGCGTATAGCCGAGGGCATCCCTGGCATTGGCCGCTTTCCGCTGGGTGGAGGCTTCATTGGTCTTCAGGAAATACGTTATCAAATCGATGGGCAGGGGGAACACAATCGTCGAGTTCTTTTCCGCGGATATGGTGTTGAGTGTCTGCCCAAATAGAGAACGGATATAGAGACGGTCTTGGCAATGGCAAGAGAGGGGGTCATGTCAGTGACTAACCTGCAGATACCGGAGTTGAAGGGCAGCCGGCGAATCGCCAATCACCTCGGATGCCTCACGCAGTGCCCGCGATGCCTTCTGCTCGCCCTCGGCGGCAATGACTTTGGCGCGTGCCTCACGGGCAGCCTCCGCCTCGGCGGCCATGGCGCGTTGCAGTTGCACGGGTAGACGCACGTCCTTGCTGTTTTGTTCGAAAAAGGAAACAAGATTAGTAGGGAAGCGCCAAGAAAGCGGAAATATCAAAGTGAGCACGATTAATATCTATAATGCTTCCGTTCTTGGCTCGGCTATAGAATGCTTTCTCCTCAGAAAATGGCATTAAATTTATATAAAAAATCTTCAATGTTGGCTGAGATACCCGCTCATATTTGGTTATTAATGATTGCTTGATTGGCGCTCCTATAAATCGATTGATCTAACGCATAACCACATCCCATTTTACTCAAATTTTATTAGCCATTTTGGGAAAGTTATGGACCAGCAGCTGATCTAATGCCATAACACATTTGGCCCGATACCCATAATGTATCCTTATGGGTAATGAATAATGAAAAATATACCAACTGTCATAAAATAAAACCATTTTCGTAGACAACAACAACGAAGTTTTCTCTTGGGGGGAGGACAGCAAGGTAGCAGCCGCAACATGGCCACAACAACAGAAGCCGTCAACGCGTCAAGTTGTTGCAGCTGTTTTAACGTGGCCAACACCAGCACAGACATGGTATTGTTGCTACTGCTGCCGCTGCTCCACCATCCAGCAGCTATATTGTTGTTGGGGCCATGTACGAGACATTTGACGGGCCCCTCGTCACACTTGCCGCTACGAAACTGAATCTGACAAAGTAGCCACTTGGCCCCCGCGCGGGCAAATAATAAATTGCCACAACAGGGCATCTGTGACAGCAGACAAAGGGCAGGCAGGCAGGCAGGCTCCTACTCCCCAGCCACCACTCTATGCTCCTCCATCATTACTGCGATAAAGGACCAGAAAAAGTGTCTAGAAACTGGGAGTGTTGTGGCCTTGCCGAAGCTATGACAATGCTAATGGAACTGACACTGGAATAGGATGCTGCTCCTGGATGCTTTATAAGCATCCATCTGGGATTCCTCCATGTGGATGTGGAAATTAGATAGCTTTTCACCTAACATGTAATCAATTTGTATTTGTTCGTTTAATGAATTAAAATTATGCAAGGATGTACTTTTAGAGCTCTTATTTTTTATCAATTAAGTAACTAAATGGTGGCACAAATATCATTAAATTGTATTTTCTAAACATAGTATGTATTTGTTTGTAAAGCAACTGAAATGTTTAAGTTAGGGACATATAAAGAGTTTTGCAACTATCCTCAGGCTATAGGTTAGTGGAATGAAACCAGAACAAACAGTACAGAGAGTCAGCTACTGCTGGGACATAAACACGCAACCCTTCTGCTGCGGTGACTTCAAAGTTTCTAAGCCAACTCTTACCATGGAAAATATATGGGCAAAAAGTTGACAAAACCCCCTTAGAGTATGAAAACTTCGGCTATGGCCGAATGTGTCGGCAAACGTTTATAAAAGTTTATTTATATTTTCGTAGCTTGACATAGAAACCTTTTCAGGCTTCTCGGTGGGGCAGAAGAGAGCTGTGCTACTTACATTTCAACACGTTCAACTTTGATGCCCCAGGCATCGGTGGCTTCGTCGAGTTGAACCTGTTTATGATTGGACGGTGGACCAGGTGGTTGGTGGTTGGGTGGTGGGTTGTTGGTTGGTTGCAGGTTGGTTGTTGGTTGTTGGTGGTGGCAGTGGTGGATGAGCCGTGTGAGAAATAGCAGTAAAAATACATTAGTTTTTGTTTACACGCGTTTTTCAGGTCGTTAACAGTTTCGTTTCGTTTTGGTTTTGCTTTTGCTTTTTTTTTTTCGCCCCCTAGCCGGCAGCCTCATAACATTTTTCAGCACATTGTTTGTGGGTCGTTGCAGCTGCAGCAGCAGCAGCAGCACATCCTTGAAATGGAAAATGGAAAAAGCTGAACATGCAGCAGCACTTGGCAGCGGCAGCAGCAGCAGCCAAACGGAGTGAAAGAAGTCGGCAGGGTTGAAGGGTTGAGGAGAGCAACTTGGCATTTTGCACATGTTCGACGTGGCTGCCTCCTCGACATGTTGCCTGATTTTGAACTATTTTTCATATGGCATGGAAAATAAATAAATAAAGAGAACCCCCCATGCCCGGGCATGCCATAGAATTTGGGTTAAGTTGGCATCTGTGCTCGCTCGCTGGCGGCTAAGATATGCGGATCGGATCCCCTACAGCTCTCCCCGTTCGCAGCCACACTTTTCAATTTTCAGCTATGAAAAAGCGCTTTAGAGCCAGATTATTTTATGCCAGGCACGAAAACTGACAAAGACAGAGAGGGCGGCAGATGGAGAGACTGGCATGGCCTTTGCCAGATGCTGAATATTGCAATTAATATTACGCTGGGAAAACTTTAAGGTTTATATCTCCCTGGATATGCTGCAGAATAATTAGGATCCAGCGAGTGGAATGTCATCTGTCAGGAATCACTGGGAGAGTGCAGCTGCCTTTCTGACTTTCTGACTTTTCTGCCTTTCTGACTGCATTTATCCTGCTGCGGATTTCCCTGTTTGTCTGTCTGTCTGTCTGTCTGTTTGGTTGTTTGTTTGTTCATTCAGAGGCCACTAAGTAAATTAGAGGAAGGCGGCTGCTCTGCTCGTTCGAGGGTCTGTTGAGAGGAGTCTGGTTCTGGTGGTACTGGTGTGATGGACGCGTCTGGTTAGGCCACTGCTTGTGCAGTGCACTCCAGGCCAAACTGTGGACTGTATGCCGACGGGTTTGAACTCACCTGCATTGTGCCGGAAATCGTCATACGCTCGCTGAGTATCTCATGCAAATGCCGAGTTCCCATTGTGTTTCGTAGAGTAGTCTGTGCCAGTAGTCTGGTCGAATGGTGAGCATTCTCCACGTTCGCTATAGAGACCGTTGCATTTGATACGCGATAGTAAACCACTGCATCCACCGAAACCGTAACGCTATCCTTTGTGAGAACCTACAAGATGCAGTGGGGGACAAGTTGGGGGACATTTGCTTTTTCTCTATTGTTCCTTCTTTTGTTGTACTTGTAGTTATTTTTATTATTTGCTTGTTATTGTTGTTGCCAACATATACAAAACATATACATATACATCATAAAGATACGTAGGAGAGAAGTATCTTTGCATACATATATACAGATACGAGTACGACTACGTGTACGAGTATAGCTTTGAGAAAAAAAGGTTCGTATATATACACACACACACAAACACACACATACGTGTGTATGTGGCTTAGCTATGGTGAAAAGTATCTGTATCTGCTGTATCTGCATCTGTATCTGTGCGGGGCCAGTATCTGATGTGCAGTTGTGCACTTCTTGGCCCGAGAGTGGTATAATGCGAATGCACTTGACTTGAACGTCTGCTTGGGCCGCTTTTTCTCTAATAGAACTAAGTGCAAGGAGTGCAAAACTTTTGCCATTTGGACCAGGACAATGCCAAAAGAGACACACACACACACACACACACACTCAAAACCAGGGAGGGCTTCCATTTTGATTATTGCATCCATGTATGTGACAGTGCATCTGTGTATTTTTGCATTTGCATTTGCATCTGTATCTACAGCTTTGTGTGCATCGCATCCCAAAGTCGTAAAGTTGCAAAAGTCTTTTCGCAGCGTTTTGCATTCAGCGAACTTTATCCACCAGATAGAAGACGAGCCCCAGAGTTATCCTAGCAATTTGCAATTGGCGATGTGCGATATAGCGGAGACGTGGAACAAACTCAAGAGCTTTGAAGTTACAGTGTATAAGTTAAGTTATTGTACGTACAGATGTGATGCCTGCCGTACAGTGTACAATGGGTTGGCACAAGTTATGCATGTGTGTGGGAGGAAGAGGCGCAAATCATAAGCCGAAAAGAAGTAAAACTCAAAAGCGAATCGAACTCAAACATCGAAAGGTCTTAAATTGTTTGCAGAAAATGTCTTACATACTATCAGGGGTGTGGGGAAGGGGGTTGGGTCGTGGTGATGTGGGGTGGGTGTGCTTATGTACACTTCTGGAGGGTTATACCATCCACACCGTAAGGCAAGTTTACTCGCCCTGCTCTCCCATTGTGTCGGCTTCGGTCCATGAAGCCCAAATCGAATTTTCACATTTTTTGTGTTCTTTTTGCCTGCCCCACAGGCATCTATCCCCCTCTCATAAGTTGGCTAAACTTATGCCGAAACTATTTACACACTCACACACTCACTGAAATATACAAATATATATATATACACTGGGAAAAAGTTTGCATCCACAGACAAAGCGTTTGACGTTTTACGACCTGCCCAAACATTGTTCAGCGTAGTCTAGACCGCTTTTTACGGCTCTACAAAGCCCTTGGCTGTGGTGTCAATGTTGTTTAGTGTCATCGTTTGTGCATGAGCAGCTACAAGGGTAGTTCTTTGCTCAGCTTTGCTCTGCTCTGCTCTGCCATTTTCCTTAAACTTTTGGCAACACAAATTTTCAACAGTTTACCCATAAAAATCAAGTGAAATGTGAGCAGCAGCAGCAATATAAGTTGAAGACTTGTTGGGTAACAGTGCGAATGCTTGATTTGAGCAGCAGCAATATAAAGCTTGAGTATGCCCAATGTTTAAATGGAACATCTTGAAGATTGCTCTGTGCATCAGGCATAGAACTTGAGCAGAGTGAGAAGCACTGCTTAAATTCTTAGTGAAGAAAACAGCAGCAATATAAGTGAAAATCCTAAGAAGACAGTGCGTATACTTGATGTGTTCTGCATCCTGCAGCAACTGAAAAAAGCTGTGCGTTGTTCAGGAAAAATTAAACAATTGAACTTAAGCTGCAGGAGATTATATAACTGCGAATAGTTCGTTTTACTTCCTTCTTTGAAGTATAAACTTCCTGCTTCAATCTCCGTTTTAATATTCAATCAAAATTTAGCAGGAGCTTTCCTGCTAAAGAGAAAACCATTTTGGGACTCCAGTGCGTACGCAGCAATGAAACAGAAAACTGCTGGGGATAAGCGAGGCTTAAAGCTAATTGAACAACCTATTTACATAAGCATCGATTTGCGTACCAATGCTAGAGCTCAGGTCGCACACGTGCGATCATCGTTCCCTTATCAAACTTCCAAGGATAACTATGCGAAATATCCTGAGTTGCAATCTCCTTTGCTGCTTGCACACTTACTTGAGATTTCTTCATTTGGTTTCAGGAGAATGCACCTTAAATCATCGACCAATTAAATTTTCCCTAACTGTTTGCATAACAAACAATTCTATTGAATGGCCCGACCCTAGCTATGAATACCTGCACATAATCATGGACAATCCACTCCATTATGAACGAATACGAGCACGAGCGAACGAATAAGCAAAAGCCTCTAACCGTCTATGCACAAACTCTAAATCAATTTGGCTAGAACAATGCAATGGCTTATTATTTCAAACAATAGTCAGTGGGTTGGATGGCTCAGTGGGTGGTTGGCTTTGTGATTCGAGTGTTAGTGTAAGTGTGTGTGTGAGTGGGTTGGATAAGGCGCTTATTGAATGCATTTTATAGTCTGTACCGAGAAATAGAATTGTGTGTGTGTGTGCATGGCCAGAGGGTGAACTAAAAAACAACACAGGAATTCATGGTGAAATTATAGAAATGAGAGCAGTAAGAGACAGAGACAGAGATATGATATATATATGGGTAAAGAGAGACAGAGAGAGATAGATGAAATGAAAATTCCATTAACGATGGAACGTTTTTATACACTGTAACGCCTAAACTAATGAGTTTTCAATAAACATAATTATTAAGTTATTTATTACAATTTGCACAGTTTCTGCCTATTGATTGATATTTTTGTTTTTGCAAATCAAATCAACTGAAAATATCTTTGATTCCTGTTCAGAATATTAGAATATGGTATTTGATTAGCTTCTACCGATGCACGGACTACGACAGAGATTCAGAGTGAGAGAGAGAGTTGGAGACAGCGATAGAGACATCGAAAGTGTGGGGCAGCCTTTTCTCTGCTACTAGTTCTTGCCACTAATTTATGCATTTTTTATTATATTGTATTTATCTATTTGTTAGAGTCTAAGGCAACTACAGATGCTGCTGATGCTGAGGGGTGGTTCTAGGCTCTATTCTGTGGCTAAATTCTAACGCGGCGTTGGCGGGACGGCGTCGATTCTACGGGGCTACGGTTCTACGGTTCTGGCTCTTGATTCTGCTCTTCAGTCAGGAGGAGCCTTCATGCGGAGCTGCTTACGGGCGTTTCCATTTCACAACAGCCTAAACCACGCAAAACACACATAGATGAACTCGACATGGGTTGCTTGCTTGCTCGATAGTTTGCCCTTTTTGTTTCAGATGTGCCTATACATATATATATGTGGATATACCATCGCTCAGCAGATATATTCAGATATATATAGGTATATATATTCTGTTTTTCTTGTTTTTCTTTTGTACTCGTTTACTGGGGTGCGCGTCCTTTCGCTTGTGCTCAAACAAATCAAATTGTAACGATTTAATTAGTTAGTTTTACAATAAATAATTGTTGTTGTTCTTTTTATGGGGTAGGGGGTTTTGGTTTTGGTTTGGTGGGTCAAAACTAAAAGCTGTTCATGTGTCTGGTGTTTGGTGTCTGGTGTCGGTGAGTGTTAATGTGAATATGTCTTTGTGAGTGTTTCTTTTTATTGAATGGTTTATTCTGTGGTTACTTGGTCCTTCTGGATTTACTCGTACTTAAACAGTTTTAACCTTAGGTTAAGGCCAAAATTAAATAGGATTTTGTTCAGTTTTATGGTCTGTACTTGTTCTGTTTTTTGTTTTTTTTTGTTAGACAGTTAGAAAGCTTTTTAGAATAGACAATTATGGAAATATATGTAAGTATATATTTAGCATGCTCTCAAAAATATTCGAACACTTAACCGAACACGGGCGAGGGGGTTGGTTTGGGTTTGGAGTGGGGACTTATCAAATAAGTGCATTTTGTTTGATATATTATTCTGTTTTTATTATGGTTTGTTCTGAGGGATCTGTTCCGGTTTTAAATATGGAAAAACAATCTGTTTCGCTAACAACAAAAGTTACACATAGCTCAAAAACAAAATCAGTATATATGTGTATATATATAGAAAGAGAGATAGAGAGAGAGAGAGATAGGTAGACAGAGATGGAGACAGGTATATATAGAGTTATATATAAAGAGGTTGGGGGTAGTTAGATGGAGAGAGACACATAGACATATGTATGTATGTACGAGTACGAGTATGTAGATATTTAGTTGGATAGATAGAAAGAGATCTGTTTTGTGGCTTCTTAGTGGCAGGAGAGTGAGCAAGACAGACATTTAGATAGACAGAGAGAGAGAGAGAGAGAGCAGGGAATACACACATAGATAGATAGTACATTGATAGGTGGGTTGGTGGGTGTGCAAATTAACGGTACATTTTTTGGTTTTTCTGGGTTTTAGCAAGACCTAAAGATATGATTTGTACGTATCTGGTTGGGTGGTATGGGTCTGTGTATCTGTATCTGCTCAATGCGTGTGTGTGCGTGTGTTGGTGCGTGTTTGTGGCATCTGTGTGTGAGTGATGCACCCTGTGTTCAGTGAACAAACATTTGACATTCATTTCTTCATCAACTTTTCGTTGCACAAGCCGAGAGTGAGATAGATTGACAGACAGTTTGACAGATACATAGATAGATAGATAGATAGATAGATAGAGAAATAGAGTGGAGTGTGTTGAGTTTTGTGTGTGAGCGAGATAGAGCCAATGCCTTCTTTAAAGTTTTTCGAACCACGCCCCCACCCCCCGCCAATTCGTTTCGCGTTTTGCATATATATATGTATGAGTGTGCTGCTCGACTGAACACAGAGAGCGACTGACAGAGAGAGTGAGACAGAGAAAGATTTAGAGAATTTTTCAGTTGCTATGCATTCCGGCGATTTGATTTTTGGTTTTTTTGGTTTTTCGGTTTTTGGTTATTTTTGGATTGGTTAGACATTGATTTAGCCATATTTTTGTTTTGTTGGGTTTTTGTTTTTCATTTCACTAATTGCAAAAAACAATCAGAGCTTTAACTATGCAAATTGTAATAACTTGAAGTTAATGGTTTCAAAAGACATCAAAAACTAAATACATTTACGGATTACCATACGTTTCAAATAAAGATTCAAAAAACCAACATCGAATGGACAAATAAATCGAAAGGAAAGCAGGATTTTGGTTGAGTGATTTTCTTTTCGGTTTATATGAGTGTATTGAGTGAGTGTTGATTCTCCTGGTTTGTGGGGGTATATCTACATATATCCCATCGAGGGCATTGCCGCAGTGGCCTTCATGCGAACAGAAACTGAAACTCAAATTGTAAAACCGCGGAACAAGCAGACAAGAGAATGCGGACGGAAATCGCAAATATGCATAAAGAACCAACCAAAAAAAAAAACAAGCAAAGAAAGAAAGGAATAAAAAATGGTGGGGAAACTGCAATGTAATATTTGACTTTTGTGAGTGTCTGTGTGTGGGTGTGTATCTGTGAGTGACTGAGTTTGCTCCACGTGACGTCGGCAAAAGATGTTGAAATACAACCAGCAGTTACTGGTAGCTATATGTACATCGCAGCATTCTATCTTAAATTCAGTTCGCAATTTCGCTGAATTTTTCTGCTCTTTTGTTAATATTTCATATTGGGTTCGGTCTTCCACTTTATACAACAATGAAATATGTACAGGTAAAAAATGAAAAATGGATGGGTGGCTGGCTGGGTGGCAAGATGGTTCAGTGGGCTGCGATAAAAGATCAAATAAGTGAAGCTAAAGGGAGCCTTTCGCTGGCCGCAAAAATTCCCAAAAATAAATGGAGCGAGCCGCGTATCTTGATGGGGCTCTTGTGCGAGTGGGGATGTGGGTGTGTATTTACTCGTATATGTGAGGTGTAAGTGGTGATGCTGTGGTTGTGTGGTGTGTTGTGGTGTGGGTGGAGATGGTGGTCATGTGGTTGAGTGCACCGTTACCATGGCAATAATAATAAAAAATCTGCAACAATGTAAAACTTCAATACGACAACAAGTACGGGGGGGTGGGGGGGTGGATACCATACAAAAGTATTTAAAATATATATGTAATTTATATGGTATATAGGATATACACCAAAGACTATCAACAACAACAATAACAACAACAACAACGAGAGTAGAGACAGAGAGATAGAGAGAGAGCGAGTTGCTTGTGTGTGTATTGGTGTGGATATGTATCTGTGTGAGCTGGTGCTGTGGTTCTGGAGTGCCCCCAGTGCAGTGGTCCATTAGAACCGTTTGCCCGGACGGACACACCCCCGGGCCACAAAAATGAACCCCAACGCTACACAACACACAAAAATAAAAGAAAGGGAAAAACGACTACAACTTGTGGAAAGCAAAAAAAAATTAAATAAACTATAAATGTGGCAACCGAAGAAAGTGAGTGGGGGAAATAAGATATACAGTTAGATATAGATGTAGTAGATGTTGTGGCAATACAAGTGGAGAAACGCATTTGCTTCTGTTGTTGATGGGGCTATTTTTCTTATTTTGTTGTGGCTGGGGATAGATACATTAACAGATACAGATAAATATAGATATAGATAAAGATAGATATAGAGATACATATACATAGAGAGGAAGACACATAGACAGAGAGAGATGGAGAGACAGAGGGAAACTGCAGCAGGAAGAAACACAGTTACCCAGGAAGAAAACGCAAAAGGAAAAGAAAGCCAAATGGAAAAACCCAAAAAAAAAGTAAATGCCGTGACATGCGACGACAACAGCAACAACAACAACAATGAGTACAACAACCAGAAAGTTAGAGGGAGGAGAACGTCAAAAAGAAACGGGGAAAAAAGTCAAAAGAAACAAAGACACAGAGACTCAGACTCAGAAAACAACGTTGCGTATGCGTAATTCACGCTCCAGTTGCGTGTGCTGTTTGAGTGTATATGTGTGTTGGTGTAGCGTGTATCTGTGTGTGTGTGCGTGTGTGTGTGTTTGCTGTGCTGTCAGCAGAATCCACACAACAATTCAGATTCCGACCATGTTCCGTCGCTGCTTCTCTGCTTTGTGGATTCCACCAACATATTCAGGTCTTTGTGTGCGTCTCCTGTCTGTGTCCTGTATCTGTGTTGGTGTGTTGTGTATGTGGGTGTCGAGAGTCTTTTTCCTTTGCAGGAAAAGCCAAAACGAAAAATGTTGCTGTTAACAAAAGTGTTTGCTGGAATAACTTGTGGCTTAAGCTAAAAGTTTAATTGGTTTCTGCTTTACTTGTTTTACCATCGTTTTAGCTTGTCATGTGCATGTGTGTGTGTTGTGTGTGGTGTGTTTTAGGGGTTGGGGGGCTGGGCTTGTGGGTTTGTGGGGATTTTATTTTAAAGTACATAAATAAAATTTGCATCGTTATTGCTTGGACAACACAAGAACAACGACAACAACAATATCAAAAAAGAGAGCAGCAGCACTGGCTGCAAAATGGTTGCAACTGCATCTGCCACATCGGCAGGCAGGCAGGCAGCAGCACTTACCTCTTGTGGCGGCACATCGTAGGTGCGGGTACGCAGATCCACACGGGCATACGAGTCGATGCAGGGCAGGATGAAGAAGATACCTGCAATTGTGGCCAAGATGCAGTATACGTTCGTTACACGGCGGCAGGGCAGGAGACAGTAGGGGGTGGAAGAGTTAATAGTGTGTGCGAGTGGGCACGGGTGTGAGGGTGTGTGAGGAAACTCTGCATAATCTCTTCCTGCCGTCTCCACCCACACGGAATGGGAGCAGCATCTGCAACGGAGCGGAGCTGTCACGGCAAGAGTCACCCCAGAGTCGCGCTAATTTGGAGCAAGTGCAGCAATTAACACAAATTCGTCGGCACTAAAATTTGCATAGCATCGTTACCCGGTTACCCCGTTACCCCCATGCCCACTCACCTGACTTCCTTCCTGCCGACAAGCTGCCCCCATGCCACCTGCAACTTTGACTCACCTGGGCCCTTGGCACCGCCCTGCATGAGACGGCCCAAACGGAAGATAACCGCCCGCTCGTACTCCTGCACCACCTGCAAAATGTGTGTGGCACATAAGTGAGAGATACACGAAATACAAAAAATGGAAATGGAAAATGTCAGAGTATCAGAGAAGGTCGCATAGAGAGCGCGGAGAGAGAGAGAGAGAGAGAGAGCGAGAACTATGGAAACTTAAATATAGAAATTTACAGATCTAAATGTAAATCTGAATTGCGGGATTGCCATGCCATTTGGTAGGGATCTGGCATACTGGGATTGGGAATGGAACTGGCACTTACCTTGAAACAGACGAAAAGACTAAAGGGCAGAGTCATTATCACTAATGCCACGGATAGAAAGATGAGAAGTTTGCCGCATGTTGAGGCCTTGTCGCTGATTTCCTCGTCCGCTGCGAGAGAACGTGGCAAGAAAACGAAAGAAATTACACTTATATACGGGATACACACAGCGGGCGGCAAGATGGAATCAAGTGCTCAAAGCAAATGCTGCAAATTAAGGCTTAAGTTACAAATTCGTTCACAATTTTTCAATCGTTTTGTTTTTTTCGATTCGTTTTTCGTTTCGTTTTGTTTTTCTTTGTTTGCTGTTGCTGTTTTGCATGAATAATGCGCCGAGGCGTTTCGGCTGTGGGTAGGGAGCGGGCACAACAAAAATATGTTTTAAAAAAGAGACAAGCGTCCGCGTGGCGCATACAAAAATCATCGCAGACTGAATGTCGTGGAATAATAGAGTGGTGGGTGGTGGTTGGGGGGAAAACGATTCGATTTTCGCCTGCCTTAAAGTTGAAGCCAAAAAAAATTGTAGTTTGTGTCCAGATGTGAGACGTGTGGCAACAAGTCGCCCATTCTGCTTATTGATACTTGAGACGCGGGCCCCCAGACGAGGGGGTGTGCTCGTCTCCTCGTAAAAGTCAAAAATGTTGTTCGCTCGGGGCGCTTAGAAACATATCTATAGCATACTTAGGGGAGGGGGGGGGCATAATTGGAGCTCCCTCGCACACCCACAAAGGCTGGGTGGTGGAGGTTACCCCATACCGCGATAGAGGGAAAAAACATTGAAAACATTGAAGCACAAACAAACAAGGAGAGATATACGATTATTATAACAATAAGTATGTATATAATAAAATGAAATAGTCTATCAAATAGTAGTCATAGATAGTTTAGTTATAGATAGAATAGAAGTTACAGATAGAAGTTGGAACAATTGCTGTGTGTCACTGAGTGTCTGAGTGTGTGTGGTTGGTTGTTGATTCGTGTGTGGGAATGTGGGAATCTTTTTTGTTTGTTTTCTGATCGTTTTTTTTTTCGTTTTGTTCTTTTGCTTTTTTTTTTGTTTTTTTTTGCTTGGGGACTTGGTTCTTTATTCTGTCCAAATTGTGCGACTTACAATAGAGAAATCCGTGGGAATGTTTTGCTTGTGTATCTGCAAGAATACGATAAATCGAATAACAAGAGTAATTAATCGGGAGTTGGTTGGCTGGATCACAGCTCCCCAGCTGAGAGCTGCAATTCGATTGGGATTGCTGTCGCTGGGAGCTGGTTCTTGGTTGGTTGGTGGTTGGTGGTTCTTGGTGTCGCTCCCCGTTCAGTGTTGAGAGTGTTCTGTGATCCTGCGATCTACATAGCCATAGGGTTACATGCCAGACATGCAGCGGATATGGGGATGGGGGGGGCATGCATAAAAAAGAACGCAAATCAAAAAACTCAAACTACAACCGAAGGCAAATCATAAATTATTCATGCCACACATTTAAATGGTATTTACTCGCTGCACAGACAGTGGTGGGGCCATGCCCCTCGCAATGCTAAATGCTGAATGCTGAACGCTGCTGGTCTCTGTCTGTCTTGTGGTTTCTGCTGCAGCTGCAGCCTCACAGCTGCAACGCTGGCAATTAGCGGCACAGTTTGCATTTCAGTTTCAATTACAGTTCATTGAAAAGTTGCCACAATGCCAACACCCAACGCCACGACGACGACGACGTCAGCAAAGTGTTTTTAACGAGCTCTCTCACACACACACACACACATACTCACTCTGCATACGCCCGCCCCCACTCACACATACACACACCGAACAAACATGCAAAGCGACACTGGTAAAAGGAAAAACTTTGAGGCAGAACCTCCGGCTAAGCCAACAAGCTGCCAAACACCCTCTTAGCCACAGCAAAACTTTTATATTGAAATTGATTTCGAAATAATTGCGATTGAAATGTGCCTGCGGATGAGGAGCCTTTCTGGATTTGTGTGCCGCAGGAGCCTTGAGGCGCCATGTCGACCACTGGGACCTAATAGATTTATAGCTAAATTGCTTCTATTATAAGAGAAATGGAAATGAAAATGGAAGGAAGCCACTCACTGAATGGATGCTGAAGATAGCAAAGATTCTCACTGCTGCTGCCATTATGTGAATGGAATGGAAGTGGAATTAATTATTTCACCTGCTGCCCGGGCCGTGCCTGACCTGATTCTTGTGGATTGAATCAACCATAAATAATTAACGGCAGTTGTTTCAGTTGTTGTATGTATTTGCTTGCCAATTTCCTGAGGCTGATTTCCCTTTTTTTTTTTAATGAATGTTGTGCCTCGGACAGGACAGCCCAGAAAGAGTGCTAAATAAGTATAGGCCTCAGTGGTAGCTGGAATCTGGGGGTACAATGTGTGGTCATAATTTTTTAATGACCTGCCAACGGCTGTTGGACAGTTCTCTACCTCTACTCCCTATACACCCCCTCCATCTCTCTTTCTCTCTCTCTCTCTCTGTCTCTCTCCTCGACCCCTTTACCACCCTCACCCCCGAACAATATCAACGCATACGTCAGCACCAGCCCCTGGCAAAAGCTTTGCTCGGAAAATGGGTCAAACTGCTGTTGCTGGGGGAGGGGATGGCATGGCACAGCACTGTGAGTCCTGGATCCTGGTTGTAGGACTGCTCCTGCTGTACTTCTTCTATATGTTTAAGTAATTTTTGATTGAATTTTGCATGCGAAATGCGAATGGCGAACGGGAAAAAGGCACAAGGACGAGACCGAAACGCCTTTTTAAGCTGTGAGATTATTTGTGGAAGCATCCTCTCGGCAGGGACTAATGAAGAGATTACCAACGTCAGCCCCAATATGTATACCCAACCTGGCGAAAGGAAACTGCAGATATATATAAGTATATATATATATATAGGTACTGCTGTATATACTGATGTGACCTGATGGAACAAAATGCTAGATACACACAGACACACATATACACAATCACAATCACAATCACAAATCACTCTCTCAGAATTTAGTCAAATAAAAGAGCTGAAGAAATCCGTTAACGGATCGATCGTTTTGGGAAGGAAATAAAAGGATGTAAATTAGATGTAACATTCACAAGCGATGAGCCTGTAGCTGTAGAGCGATGCAAAGCACAGATTTGAGATTTTTGATTTGTGGCGGCTCTAATTGAATTTTTGGCCATAAAATATAAGTATATTTTTTTTGTATAATGAAATTGTGGCCTGGATCGGCGGCGACGGTCCCGCGGGGGACCGTGCAACAAGTTCAGCCAACGTTCAGTTTCTCTAACGGTTTTTTCAGGCTATGTACAACACCAAGTTCCTATGCGAACTGTGCTCCCAGATGCTCACCTCGTCGCGCCTCGGCCCGGTGGATGGCCTGCTGCTGCTGCGATTGCTGCATCAGAGCATGGTGTCCGACGGGCAGCTGCAATTGCTGCACCTGAATTGGCTGCTGCTGCTGCTGTTGTTGCTGCTGTTGTTGCTGCTGCTGTTGCGGTGGTGCCTGCTGGTGGTTCTCCCGCTCCCGGATCTGGGGCTGCTGCTGCTGCTGCATGTTGGACTGCTGCTGCGGTGGCGGCTGCGATGGGTGTTGCATCATCGGGCCCGTGGATGGGGACGAGGCCTGGTGGTGGTTATGCTGGTGGTGCTGGTCCCGATCCCTCTGATCAATGGGCGGTGGAGCTACGGCGGCTGGCGGTGCCGGCGGGGCAAAGGTGCTCGTGCTGGCCGTCATCGTCATACGCGGCGGCTGCTGGTGGCGCTGCTGCTGCTGCTGATGATGGTCCCCCCGATGCTCCATGTCCATCATCGAGTCGGGCATCAGGCCGCGTTCGCAAAACGACGCCAGTGCGGCGGCTGGTTCTGGCTGCTGTGCGTCAATCAGTGCGAGTTCTTTCCACTTGCCTCCTGCTCCTGCTGCTGCTCGTGAGCTCAGTCTTCCATTTGAGCACACTAAATGAGTCTGGTAGTCGCGGCCATTATCATCATCATCATCGCCATCCCGGCGATGCTTTTCCTTCGGAGCAACCACAATTATATGTACACACAGCACACAGGACACTCACTGGCACTGGCACTGGCACTGGCACTAACACGGATACATAAATTCACACACCACTGCGAGGAGCTAGTTTCCCTAGCACTTTCTTTCCACTCTCTACTGCTGCTGGGTCCATTTCCCTTCTGCTCTTTCCGCTGCCTCTGCTTCTCTGCTGCTGCTGCTTTGGTCCTGCTTTGGTTCTCGGGTCCTAGGTTTGCCGCTGCTGCTTTTCGAAGAGTTGCTGCCGCCTGGGCCTCGCTCAGAATCCAACTGAAAGTGCGCCGCCAGCGAGCATCCTTTTATATACATCGCAGCCAGCAGGAGGCCTGGCCTGCCTGCTCTGGCCAAAGCTCTCCACACGCAAGGAGAGGACGAACCGGACCGGACCAACCAGGAACTTTCTTATCAGGCGGGTGTCGATGCCATTACTCTACGTGCGAATCCGAAACGATCAAAGAGCTTTCCTCGGCACTCTGTTCGGCTGCAGCAGCCAGCAGCCAGCATCCACTCTCCCAGATGCAGTTCGTGTCCTCGTGGTTTCCCCTCCAGCTTTCAGCTTTTTCGCCTTTTTCCAGCATGCACTGACCTTGCGCATTGTGCCGCACATTGGGTCCTGGCAGGAACTTCAGGAACGAAGCTTTCCCGCTGCGAGTGCAAGCTTTTACGCAGGGGAAATTTGGTGCGAGAGAGCGGAGACAGGGAGAGAGTTTTAGCTCGCCCGAGAGCAACTGTACTAAATGTGTCGAAGTGGAAGCCATTCGTGCCGAGGACCCTAACGACTGCCGATGATGTTGGCGCCCTCTTCGCACTTCCCATTTCCCACACAGGTGGAGGGAGGCTCGTGTGTACAGGTGACAAACCTAATTTATGACACCATCAACGAGCAACAGTCAGCCACCCCAAACCTCCCCCCGATTGTAGTCAGACAAGAGACTCTTCCACTTTTGGTGTTTTTTTGTGTTTGCCAACTGGCGTGGAATGATATGAGCCGTCTATTCATACACATCCTGGACGGTGTGTGTGTGTGTGTGTGTGTGTTTGTGGCATGTTTGGATGCGAATTTCTAATGAACTTTCCTCCTCGAACGAAGCCGAAGCCTGTCGAACTGTCGAGCATTTCAGGTCACCTGCAGCTCCTGAGCTTTGCTTTTGAGCTGTCAATTACCATTTACGCTTCATTAGGCAGCAGGAGAATGAAAGAGATAGGCCGAGAGAAGGAGGGGTAGAGCAGTTCCTCCGTTCTCCCAGAGGAACAGAGGCAGACCAAGTGGCATGGGCTGTGTTAAATGTCGTACCACACTGCGTATACTTTCGTTCGTTTGAGTGTGTCATTATGTTTGACATTCATTCAGGGCCCTCCACAATGGAGCGGAGCCAGCACTCTGTCGAGTGTGGCCCCTCCAGTTAATTAATCTCTCTGGCAGCTGATTAATGTGCGGATTGATTTGGGTATTGCCATATTCCCGTTAGCACAAGCCTGCCCCAATCCAAGACAAATAGCACCACTCGCGACGAGCCCTATCCGGCTTTCTGCTTTATTATGGGCCAATCAGTGCGGTCTGGGATTATGGCTTGTGTGGGGTGGCACACGTGCAAACAAACACATTAGGGCCTAGATTGTAATCGCAATCTGGTAAGGGAATACATGTACTCGTACTCAGAGTATGTGTGTGTTTACCATCAGGTTAAAGGTTAAATATGCTATCAGAGAGAGAGATAGAGAGAGAGATAGAGAGAGAGACAGGAGGAGCGTGTGAGCGCTCTGGCAACGACTGGCTGACGAGAGTTCCCACCGCCCAAGAGCCGGAGTTCTTTTTGCCGCAGAGCCAAATGACTGAAGTTTAAGTGAGTCCCGCCCAACCATACGCAATTTTTATAGACAAGCATAAAAAGCCAGAAGGGAAAGCCCACACTCGCCCCCCGTTATCGGCCCCATCGAAGGATGGGCTAAGCTTAATGGCAGAAGTCAGAAACAAAGCCGCAAAAACCGTAAGCACAATTTGTCCTTGCGAAACGGGGCGTAAAGGATTGCTGAGCGGAGAGGAGGAATGCCAGAGGAACATGATGACTGGCGAATGATGTCACTGGGAAATTTCGAGTTCCAGTTTTTCGACGAATATTTATGCGTGTGTGGGGGGGGCCATGGTCCAGGACTTTGAACCGTGAGTCCTGCTGCGCTGCTGTGGCTGGTGTGTGTGTGTGTATGTGTGAAATTAGCCAGGCAAATATGTCGCACTTAACTGCAAACGGAAGTGTAGCAGCACGTGCAGAGCGAGGCCGGAAGAACGGGGGCACAATGGTCCAAACCATGCAATTGTCGAGGCCCACGGCAAGCGGTCAGGCAGAGAGAGAAAGAGAGAGAGAGAGAGAGAGATCCCTATCTCACATCTCCCATCCTATGCCTCTGCCGCTGTGTCTCCTCTTTCCTGCCTCGCACTCACTCTCAATTGTTGACGTTTGCGCTTTTCCCGTCCTGGGGGTGAACTGTTGCGGAAGAGATAGGGTTTCCCTCTATCTTTTTCCGTCATCACTCCCTGTGGATGTGTGTGTGTGTGCGTCGAATTATTGTCATATGTGTGTATGAGGTCACTGTCCCTGTCGCCTCGGCATCTATCGCAGTGAAAGTTTTTCTGCCGGCTTTCGCCGGAGACAACACTCGGGCAAGCAAGCAAACAAACACATTGGGTCTTTGTTTGCTTGCGCCTGCCACATGTCCCGTCTCCCTATTCCCGCACCCGATGGGGAAGTGTGGAGGGGGGGGGGGGGGCCAAAAGTTAAGCAAAGTTTTCTTGAACATTGCCACAAAGTACAACTAGAACTGGGATGTAGCTGCGGCTTGTTGCAACATTGTTGAATGGGCCCTGGCAATTGAGTAACACTTGGTGAAGCGGACAAACAGGCTGAGTGCTTCGGATCGTGTGCGTTGTGTTAAAGCCACTTCGAATCAATTTATCCGGTTTCTGCGGAGTCCCAGTCCCAGTCCCCCAAGTGAAAGAGAATTCCAGATGGGCTGGCAGACAGACAAACACAAATACAGGATCGGACTTGCACCCGTATTCCTACTCATATATTCGTTCGTGTTATGGCCCCGCTGCTCCTTTTGCACTCATAAAATATGAATGACCAGGGCAAAAAAAAATTGTATTCGACACGAATGAATGAAATATGGACATTCAGAGTTTATGAAGCTGATTGGCCCCCAGGCCCCCAGCTCTCACTCACCTTCTCTCTGCGTGGGAGTGGCAGAGGGTATGGGTGCGGCTTGGACCCTGGTTCGCGTTGACTGCAGCGTGGAAAGGCCAATATTCTACCGTTTGTAATTGCAGCTCACTTTTAGCCGCCAATCAATGGCCGGCCCTCATTAGTTTGGTGCATATGAATCTCGTCTAGTCGAGTTGTTAAGTCGACTGACGACTGTCAGAGCCGACTATCAACCAATCAATAATTCATAACCACACACCGATGGACGATGGACAAATGGACAAATGGACAACGGACGGACCCATTCCTTGGCAATAAAATGAAAAGCGAAATGAAAATGCTTGCCAATAATTCAACGTTCTGGGGTCCTTCTGCTGGCTATGAGTCTGTTTCAGTTTCTGCTTCTGGTGCTCCTCCTCGTCGGATTTTATCAATGGATGAATCGCACTGCTCTTTTGCTCTCCAGCTCTTGGGATCTTCCACGCCCACCCACTTTTCTGTGCCGCACAATGAATGAATGGCAAGCGGCGCCAGCCGTCGGTTGTCGCCTCCGCCTCCGCCGCCGCCTGTCCGAGTGTCGAACATTTTGTCCTTTTCCCTTTTTTTTTTGTTGTCCTCTGTCATTTTGCTCATTTTTCCCCTCGGCCGTTTCCCTTCTTTCGTTTATTTTTGCGACTATCTTTTGGTCGCCTTTGCCACGTTTTCCCGATAATGTCGCTCCTGCTGCCGCTCCTGCTGCTGCTGTTCGGTTCCAGCGAGCCATGAAATATTGATGTCTCTTTCTGTGTGGCTATTACTCGCCCTTTCTCCTTCACTCTCACTATAGCTGTCTGTGTCTCTTTTTTTTGTGCTGGACTGGGGTTATAAAGCGCGTCACATACTCGTAAAGTTTATTATACAGACATATGCCTGGCATGACCAATGTCATCCGAGCACTCAAAATTAATTGATTTTTTTTTTTCAATTTATAAGGAAAAAGTTCCAGTAAAACTTGCACCATGTTTTCCCATGTACTTCCATGGCCAAACAATTTGTTTGACTTCCGGTTATTCGTTTACGTTGAGTTTCTTTTGATGAAGTTTGTTTTTAGCTTTCGAATTTCTTGAGTTTTTCGCCAAAGTTATGCTCTGTTTCCTGTACCGCAAGAAAGAGAGGTTTTTTTAACAGTCAGCTATTTATTTTACATTCCCATTCATTCACTGTACAGTGTACACAAATCATACAAATTTCCCATCATTTAAATTGATTTTTAATTGAATTTTTAAGCGTGTAAAGTTTCCTTGAGTTTACATCTGTTTTCTACTCGTATTAGAAAACATTTGTTCCACTTTCGGCCCTTCATTGGAAAGTAATAAAACATTTGGAATTGACTTTTTCTGTGATTAAAATTGTAGGGAATTTCCTTCTGTTAACCAAACAAAACATTTGTTTAACTTTTGGCTATGCATTTTGCACCCCCCACTTTATTTACTGTACATGAAACTACTTTAATTTCACTTGAATAAAATTGAATTTTCCGAGAGTTCTGCTTTCAATTTAATGATTAAAAGTTGCCCCAACTTTAATGGGGTTTTCCACCAACCACCCATAAACTACGTTTTAGTTCAGTTTGCACATTTTTCCAACCCCTTGCAGTGGGTTTTTTCGCTCACTTTATCTGTTCATTGTACGGTCATTACTCCTGTTTACATGTTGATTTCGATAAGCGTACCGTAACCCTTGAAGCAGCCATAATTAATAACTTTTGTGGCTCAAAGCGAGGCTTCTGCTGAGGTCAGCTTCTGCTGCCGCGGCCGCTGCCGCTGCTGCTCTTTCCACAGACGAGAATTAATTAATGTCGGACAGACATTGTGTGTGGCCAGAGCGCGATCAAAGCCGTGTGGCATGAACACTGACCTGCACTTGCGGGAGACATGTGTGCATAGGGAGCAAAAGGGGCAAAGGGATTCAGCAGCAGCGACAGCTGCAAACAGTTCAAACGCTGATAGCGCCGCTTGGAAACCCGCTTGGAAATCAATTAAAGTGCATCTGGGTGGCACAGAGCTGTGGTTCTTTGTGCTTGTCAAAGGGGTTGGGGGGGAGAG